CAGCTGTCTCAGAAGCATTCTCTGAAAGAACGATTATTCGCGGAATTTAAAGATTACCTCTCGTCTGATTTCCAGTCCTGTGTAAAACAAAGTGTCAAGTTGCACGTTTGTTCTGATGCTAAGCCTAAGTTCGCCAGAGCTAGGCCAGTACCTTTGCGCCTTAAAGAAGCAGTAAAATGTGAGCTGCGTAGATTACAAGACACAGGACGTATTTCAAAGGTTTTTTCTAGCGAATGGGTTTCACCCACTGTAAATGTACTCAAAGATTCAAGAACTGTACGCATTTGCGGGGATTATTCAGCTACTGTTAATCAAGTGCTGAACGTAATACAATCTCCCTTGCCGTTGGTGGATGATGCCATCAGCGAAATCGGTACTACGACAATATTTTCTAAAATTGATCTGACCAATGCGTTCTTACAGTTACCGCTGGACGAACAGTCGAAGAAATATACGACCATAAATACTTGTGAAGGTCTATTTCGATACAATTTTCTTCCGTTTGGACTTAGTGCTTCACCAGGCGTATTTCAGGGTTTCATGTGTAAAATCTTGAACAGAATTCGTAATTGCGTTGTGTACCAGGACGATGTCCTAGTAATGTCTCCTAACATTGATGAGCATTACAAAACTTTGCATTCTGTGTTGACTATTCTCAAGACAACAGGTATTCAGCTTAATATTAAGAAATGTAAGTTCTTTACGGATGAGGTTGACTATCTTGGCCATGTATTTAACAGAAATGGCGTTCATCCAAATCCCGAAAAAGTGCGTGCCATTTTGGACGCACCAGCGCCAATCAATGTGAAGCAGGTTCAGGCGTTTATCGGACTGTGCACTTACTACAGTAGGTTTATTCCCAAATTCAGCGATACTATGTCTCCATTGTACTTGCTGTTGAAAAAGAATGTTAGATTTCATTGGGGACCTCAGCAACAGGAATGTTTTAATAAGCTCAAACTGCTGTTCAAAAATAGTGAAATTCTTAAACCGTTCAATCCTTTGTGGGAAACTTTGCTGGAAACCGACAGTTCGGGCTACGGTCTGGCTGCCGTTCTCATGCAGCGTGTAAGAATGATACAGATGTTTGGCACCCTGTTCAGTTTGCTTCTAGGATGCTGAATGACGCTGAAAGAAATTATAGTAATATTGAAAGGGAAGCGCTGAGTGTTATTTTCGGATGTGAAAAGTTTAGAAAGTATTTGTTGGGATCTAAATTTACGATTCATAATGACCAGCAGCCACTTAAGAAACTTTTTGCTCACAATTCATCCGTATCTACCACCTGCTCGGCACGGTTGCAACGATGGTCATTAAGACTATCGCAGTTTAACTACAACTTCGAGTACTCACGCGGTAAAGATAATGTTCAAAGTGATTGTCTGAGCAGGTTACCGCTGGCAGAAACTGTGCACGAGTGTGAATCTTACGAGCTCGCGTATTTACAGTTAATGCTCTAAACTCCTCGCTTGTAACGTGTGCTGAAGTCGAAAAACACACTAATGCCGACAAAACGCTTGTCGCATTGAAGCATCACATCAGGTACGGTCATGTGATTGCTAATACTGACAAGGACTTGAGTATGTTTAAGCAACATGTCGAATCTCTCTCTGTTTTGAAGGGATGCATTCTTTACCATGCTAGGGTTTTCATTCCCCAGTCCCTGCGTCGCGGGTGCTTGAGCTTTTGCACGAAGGACATCCAGGCATTTGCGGCATGAAGTCTATTGCTCGTTCACTTGTCTGGTACCCGGGAATTGATAAAGATATTTCTGACCTTGTGAAATCATGTACAATGTGCCAGGAGTCTCGTTCAAAACCGGCTCAAAATCGAACAATTGAATGACCGGTACCATCTCGACCCTGGTCTAGAATCCATGTTGATCATTTTTTTGTTCATGGTAAAATTTGTTTCATTGCGATTGATGCACTGTCAAAGTATATTGAAGTAAAAATTGTGCCTAGTACTAGCGCCGAAGAGACTATTATTGCGTTAGGTATGATATTTAGTCGCAATGGTTTATGTGATGTGCTTGTATCGGACAATGCAACGTCTTTTACGGCTGAAGAATTTAAAAATTTCCTTGAATGCAGGGGGCATAACCCATGTAACTCCACCCCCCCGTTCGCCTCAGTCAAATGGTCAGGCTGAAAGGGGAGTTCGGGTTATCAAGGATCTACTAAAAAAATGTGACTCCACAGGTAATTTAAAAACTAAGCTAGCTAAAGTTCTGTTTTATTATAGATCAACTCCGCACTCAGTCACCCAAGTAGCACCATCTGTTGCTCTGAACGGCAGGAGGTACGTCACCGCCAGAGACAGAGTAAGTCCCCGATTTTGTCATGTTCAAGAATGGACAAAAAACAAACTGCTACCGCGATTTGAAGTGGGAGATAAGGTTATGGCTTTAAATTTAAGTGAAGGACCCAAATGGTACAAGGGCACAATAGTGCAGAAACTTGGTATCAATGTCTTTAATGTTCACATTGACCAATTGGACTTAGTCTGGAGAAGACATAGTAACCAGCTACTATACGTTCCTTCCTGCACGAAGCCTCGTGAAGACTATGAACTTCTTGTCTTCAATCCGTCAGTTTCATCGTAACCCTCAGAGGAGGCTCCTGCGTCTATCACCCCAACAATTCCAGAAGCGGTGCCTCCCGAAAATCCTGGCGAGGCGGTTGAGACTGATGTGGAGACCCCATTAACATTAAGGCGTTCTTCTAGGACAAGAATACCTGTAATTAGATACGGTGTTGATGAATAATTTGCATTTTTTGGAAGGGAGGGATGTGTTGTATCATGAAGTCTATTGGCTCAACATTCACTAATGTTAGCCCTGTAAATATTAGATAGGACGTTTTCTATTGTTTCTATTGTTCATTAAGCTAAGCCTCGTCTTAACCGACGAGTCACGCTCGTGTAGACCTGCCTTGAATAAACTTGTGTTCTCTGCCCTGGTCTCTGCCCTCTACTACCGGTGTTGCACGGGATTTAGTCCCAGCTTCGTAATTAAGGATATTACAGGTCGCTACTCGTCTGGAATGCTGCAGGCTGTAATGGCAGCTACTCGTTTGGAATGCCGCAGCCTGTAACGGCCGCTGCTCGTCTGGATTGCCGCTGCCTGTAACGGCCGCTGCTCGGTACGAACGTTTGATCCCGCCGACGACTCCTGGATGGCTGCCACCGCAAAACTGTGTCGTTGGTTCCAATACTCTACTGGGCTCTAACTCTCCATTCGAATGGAAATTCCACACGTGTTAAAAAGTCATCAATTGTTAGAGATGTGTATTGACATACGATCACGATAAATATCGGGGAATGAATACAGCGCTTATTTGCGTGTATATTTCCTCTTCGGGAATGACAACTTTTGGTTCGATTGGTCCTCTCAATTAAGCTATAAAATATCTAGTCTTCTCCCCTGGGCGAGGAGCTACGAAGTCAGTGGCATGTAGATAACCATCGTCTCCGAAAAGCTAGACAGCAGACACAGTACATAGTCGCACCATCAGGCTTCACTTTCGTCAATTGCAGTCAAGACTACCATGCCCGAATCGGCCTGGCGTGCCACTTGAGGCGCTGCCGACAGCGAGTTGTGCGGTGACAGACGGGGCGCAACCATTAGCTTTCGAGATGGACGGATGCCAACGGAACGGAACAGAATGTCAGAAGAAAATATTCTTCCATGCATTAAAAATTACATTAAAATATATATGCGAACAATGTTTCGGTGGTCGGGCATATCTATAGTCATCCAACAGAAATATGGTTCAGGTTATCAAGACTTACTCCACAGCAGCCGAATCTTCATTTTCTAAACTCAAGTCTTCGATTGAAATAATAGATGAACTAAATGAGTATTTACTCGATGCTGATTAAAGGTGCCTTGTATGAAATCGTTATGAAAATAATGTATATGAATTTTTAAATTAATAAATCGTTGTAGAAGCCGGAAAATTCTGTTCTTCGATTGAAATATCTGAATATAATTATTCATAATAGAAATATTTTCGCTTGCTATTAATCTTATGTGTGACGTGCCCTCGAAGTTCGTTTGAACCAGAAGCCACGATCTAAACGCTTCGTAGAATAATAATAATAAACCTGGGGATAAACATATGAGCGTTCAGAACCGCGGAGCCATGGAACGAAGACCAGTCACTTCTCTTTGGACGCAATGCAAATATTTTGTTACAAAAAACTTGAATGATTAAGAAATGAGTCTATGCGCTATGAATTTAACGTTTTTAGTTCAGAGGTGCTAATATGTAATCAAGTAGAATGAGACTTAAAAATCCGGCACACATAATGTGCTTAGCAGGTAGTTTCTCAGAAATGGTGGGCATTAAAATGTTTACGGTTAGGCAATTAAAGTCAAAGAACATTCCACTAAAGTGGATCTCATCTCATTCTCAATCGAAAAGTGGCATTAAGAAAAGAATTGCGGTACATTCTAAAATATGACGCCAGATGATAAAATAAAATTCTCTGAAAAAAAATATTCTGGATTCTGCCGACAAAGTTCAGTATTCAACCATATTAAAAAAATAGTCAATGCATATTGAATAATTCCGCAATGAATCTTTACTTATGAAGAATATTCATCAAAATTTGAGTTTTCATCGAGGCGTGACAACTGCTAAATTATGATAATGATGACTGCTAGCCGCTACTCCATCATTCGCGGCTACCTGTCGCTCGTTCCTTTTTTAGGTGCTTTTTCTTGCGCAGGTCTACCCTACCCGTTCATCAAAAACTCTATTTTTTAGTCTCGTGCCCAAGAGTAATACCTACCCACGAAAACTTAAGTCATGGCCAGCGGCTGTGTCCTCTTCTCTTTTCGCTGCTTCCTATTGGCTGGAAGAATGACCACGTGACTCAATTATCCTGGGACGAGCTTCTGCGGTTGGCTAGTGCTGGCTGCGGTTGCCCGGCGGTTAGGATATAAGCTGGGCATTTGTGAGCGACCACAACAGTGGCAACTTTGCGGCCGTATTATGGCTGTGTCTGTGTGTGTGGCTTCCAGTGACTCTCAGCGGGCCAGGGTCCTGCAGAACATAGACTCTTCTGGATCGGAAACGACAATTTCCAGTGCATTAGAGGATGTGGTTCACAGAACATTTTGCCATAATCATGCTTTCAAAAATGAGAAACGCATCGTAAGTGATTCTGATCAGATTAAAGTTAGTCGAAAGAATATCCAAGGTTTAAACACACTCACGAAAGGACTAAATCAACCTGTTCGAAACTCGAAACCGGAATCTCCTAACACACACGATGAACATAAACCTGGATTTTTTCCTAACAAATTTTTTGAAGGTAGTCCGTCAGCATCGAGTCAATATTTTCTCAACGAGCTCCCACCTGTGGCTTTTGAATCTTTATTTTCCTGTTACCCAAGTTTAGACCAGTCAGTAGACAGTCCAGGACTACCATCACTGTACACAGTGTACAGCCCAAGCATCAGATCTTCGCTTAGTCCGTGTTCGTCCAATTGCTCATCGTCTCCTCCTCCTCTGGAGCCGTCTTCTTGGAGTTTTGGGACTTCAGAAGAAACTCATCCAGCACTAACAAACCCAATCTACACCCCTGAAAATCAACTGCTAAAACCATACGACAATAATCATAACTCTATCGTTAAAACCGCCACGAAAGAAATTGCAACGTGGTTGAAAATTTACAGCACTGGTCCATTTTGCTCCTCATTGTCTTCGTCTGTAAGGTCCAAAAGGCAAGGAAACAAACTCACCAGCCGCGAGGTATTGAAGAAACGTCGTTTGGCCGCCAACGCCCGCGAAAGAAGGAGAATGACTGGCCTCAACGAAGCCTTTGACAGACTGAGGGAAGTGGTGCCGGCCCTCACTGGAGACCAGAAGCTGTCCAAGTTTGAGACTCTTCAGATGGCACAGACGTACATCAACGCTCTTTTGGATGTGCTTCACTAGACGCGTTACGTTGCAGGGGCCTGCGTCCTGATTCTTAAAATATCTAGTCAAGTACGTACGTAATGCCCATAAAGCGTAATGCCTAATAAAAAGTTTAAGGATCATATTGCAATGCTACGTATGTGATAAAATTTTTGTGCTAATGCCAGTGATCCAACCACGATTTCTGATAATAATCATTGTTACGCCATTTTTGAAAATCCAGGCACCAGATAATTTGTGCAATTCTTTCCGGTGTGCTTGTATCTTCACAAAACTCGAAGAATAATTTTATTTCGCTACTATGCAAATGCTGTAAGAGCTGCCATTAGATGGAAGCATACTTAGAGGTCTTTCATTATTTGAAAGTCTCATGAACTTTTCATTGTCAAAGCACTTGGTGACTTTACAGAAGTTCAAGCATTCCGAAGAAGTAATAATTGTTTATAATTCACATCAATAAAATAAATAAATTTGTAAATTTGGTAACGCCTCTTCAACTAATTTTATGTGTTTCAATGCGAACGACTCAACATCAACTTCCGTCTTATCACTTTTTAAACTGATGACACATTTTAAAGCTGGCTTCTCAAATGCACAACAATCCACGCCATGCCTACATAATCATTTTAATTGCAATGCAACCGCAATCGAAATTTAGCAAGTTATGTTAATTCATGTATATTTCCCGTATTTTAATTGATTAGACTTTATATGTGATCCTTAGCATGTCTTGCGCCTTGGATTAAACTTATGTCGTCTTTCTTCTTTCAGAGCTTCTTCAAGGTTCAGCTGTATCACGCTGCGGAAATGGCATTTGTTGGGAGAAAATGGGATCGACTTATTTTAAATATGTTAATACTATTCGGACTCAATATCAACAAGTACCTGATGTATGGAAGTTCTGAAATACGGAAGCTGCACAGTTGAACCAGACAGCCAGAGAGAACTGCAAATAAATGTCTCTGATTTGTATCATGACAGTTTGGATAGCCAAATTATGTCTCAATCTGGCTTATAAGCTCAATAGCTTAATTAATATGGAGTATATTTTTATCCAAAGACGCAATGTCCGTGCACCTAAGTATGTATTGTGTAGGGTATGACTGTTATTTGTGTGAACATAGAAAAGACTAAACTGTGTCATAACATTAATGAGAATAACCGATTATCAATACAATTAGTAATTACCAAACATAAGAAATAACTCTGTACCAAGTTTTGGTCGACGCTGTGGCATTACTTTATCATGAACATGTTGGAAAGAAACGAGTACTTTATTCCGCTTCTACTTTCTGCTGAAGCTAATGTCCTCAGTCAATACATCATGGGGAGAAGTTCATTGGCTCAAACGGGCATCTGTGGTCCGCATCGTAAAGTTGTGCACTGCAGATATAGAGATAGAAATTATATCATCCCATTATTGAGTGCATCACAATCGTCACACGCGTCTAAGATCTTACCATTTCCATCGTGATGGTAACTCTTTGCTGTGGATCACGAAGCCAATTTTTTTACTTGCATTATTATTTGTGCTGCGTCAAAAACAAGTGCTCATCATGGTGATTATTTTCGAAGAAACTTTCCATGTTTTTTCCACTTCCATATATGGATACTAACAAGTTTTTAAATTTTTTCCCTGGTAAACGCCTGATTAATTCATATTCCTATGCAAGGAAATCGAATTATTACAATTAACTGTAATTGATCAAACCAACGTTGTTTGTCCCGAATGTAAAATGTACACGCAAATTAATATTGTATCCATTCCCCGATATTTATCGTGATCAATTGTCAATACACATCTACATTTGACGATTTTTTTCACACATATAATATATACATTTTTTCTGAAAATACTGGTTTACGATAGTGATTGTGTTACGTTCACGTATCAAAACGTGTTTGAATGCATAGTCCTCGATGTTTTAATTTTATATAATTTAATTTAATTATAGTTTGCATGATATACAATGAATATTTTGTTCGGTTCCTTGGCAGTGTCTACAGGTTGTCATTTAATATCCTCCCATTATTTTATCAAAAAATTGGAGAACTAAATATTCCTTCAACTCTCAACGAACAGATCAAGCAACCGAGACAAACATTCTGGTGAGAGATTGCTTGCCAAATTATATTCACAGCGCGAACTATTTTTAAAGTTGTATTTATCATATAAAATAAGGATGTTGTGGGAGAGGACAAAATTGGTGTACATTCAGATGGAAGTACTCATTTAAATACATTGTTAAATCCTGAGTCAGAATTTATATGGAGAGCATCGTTAAAATGGCCTTCTGTTGTGGAAAAATCATATATTAATGGAGATCTGTTATATTAGATCTTTCAGAAAATATCTATCTAAATTCTTTAAAATTCGCTGCCCCTGGGTATAATAATATGAACCAATAATCGGGCCAAATGCATTTCCTTTATTCCTTAAATATGTATTTTGATTTGAGCAAATTTCCAACAAAACGAACTGGATATTTTCAAAGCGCACGAGCTGAATATTTTTTTTAATTTCTGTTGAAAACCACATAATGCCTCACAATTTGGAGCCACTAAATAAAATCATGATACAGCTCATGTACATATTTTTAATGGCTGACTTATGGATTATTTTTGTAGTCCTCCTACAAAGCTAGACGCCATAAGACGCCGTAGATGATTGCAGCGCTCGATTTATTGGAGAATAATTACCAGCCGTCCAGCGAGCAGGTCGAAGGGCTTGTACTTGACGCGGGGTCGGGCCTTGCTTTGCTTGATGGAGCTTCCTTCAGGGAAGGGCTGCGCTATGCAGCGTATAAGTGTGAGTAAAATTACAGCTGAGAATATTTAAAATAATAAATAATATAAATTATACCTTGATACTTGATTATGACGTAGCATAAAAAGAAATTATTTTATTGGTAGTTGGTGTTCATGATGTTCTCCTTCAACACGCTTCCATTAGTAGCCCGTCCGATATGTTTATCTTGATTTTAAAACAGCCAAGCACCTCAAGCAAACAAATTAATGTTCTCATTTGCGAATCCTCGCTTTCATCTGAATAATTTGGAACGTTTACCATAATTTACTCTCTGATAAATCTCTGATATAACAGAGAGTTTTGGACGAAACATATGTAATTGGCATATGTTATATGCCCGAATTGGCAGCCCGAAGGTCGGGCTGCCAATTCGGGATCAGTTGCTGACCAAGAAAATTTGCTCATCTCCTCGGTCTTGCATGGTGGGAGGTGCGGCGGCTGAAACAAAACACTGCGTTGAAAGTGCGGCCTAAAGGTGACCCGCTACAATGTCTCGAATATAATTACGCGAGAAAACGAACTGAATAAAAGTATTACTGAATCATCCTCAGTCAAATGACAAATAAAGAATTCACTGTCTAGGCTGCAAAATAATAATTTCTAAGAGTTTAAAACTCCTTGCACATTAAATAAAATGATGTTAAAATGAGGATTTATCTGTTCTTCTGCAAATTGCTTTTGATAATCTATGCCGATTTTTTATAAACACCAGTGAGGACATGAATTACAGCAACACCTGTATAGGGACAGAAAATCTATAGCAACAAAAGTCGGGACAGTAGGTCCAGGAACAGCTGTCGGGAAGAGAATACAGCAACATTTGTATGGACAGAAAGTAGAGTAACAGCGTTCTGAACAGTGAGTCTGCAACACTAATTTGATGATAAATAATCTCTGTCCAAAATATTTCGAGTACATGAGTGCTTTTCTGGCTGAAAACGTATCGTAACTTGACCTCAGCTTTACAGTATACAGACAAGGATCTGTATAAAGCTGCGGTTACGTTGGATCACTAATATAGGATGGTTCAGTAACAAATATCTTTCTTTAAATTTGACTACATTTGTTATCGTTTGCAAACTTTCGATTCTAAACAAATAGACGAAGTATTTTCTTATCATAAAAGAAAGCTAATAACTAATGATTTGAATATAAGATTAGTTTTGTTCAAAGATTAGGCTCAAAATTAACAAATAATGTATGAAATTCTGTGAATTGAGAGTCCAAATCTGCACCGACGTCCTGACCAAATCATTGCAGAAGTAAGGTTACAAGCAACCCATAATTTGGATTCGAATATATTATTGGTTCACTAAATTGTAGAGCACGCCAACTTTGATAATTGAATGTTTCTATTAAACAATTAGGTTCTGGTGCTGCTCACTAAAGAGCTAATGGGTAACTAACGACGTGTGAGGCCCGTTAGCGCCACTGAACAAACGCGGACATTTTTTGCAAGCTGCCGCGGGACGCACAGCGAGCGACAAGCAGCGAAATGACAGTCCTGCCTTGTTCAGGATACGAGATGATGCGCCTCATTATTTGTTTACAGCAAAATATGCTACAGTTCAACAGCTGGTGGGTATAAAAATTGGTAAAGGAAATGAAGTACCTTTCTGATCAAAATTGGGCTTCATGCTTTCTTTCTGATGCAAGATTAAACTTACAAGCGCCTATTTTTTTTTACCTCAGATAGCCATCAGAATGGCTAACAATGTTATGTTTGTTTGTCTCTCCTTGAATTTTCTTTAAAAAGCCAATTATTCAAGACGCCGCGTATGACCAAATATTTTTCAATTCATTGGGTGGTTTTCGTGAAATTCCTGTCGCCATTCGGCCCGAACGGGAATGTTTGTGAGTTAGGTTCTTGCGACCTATGAACCGTGATCAAACAAAGCGAAATGTTCCCTCGCTGATCAGGTTCAGTAAGCCACTGATGCGATCTTGATGACTCTCCACGGCATCGCAACTCCTTCTCAGCTCAGGAGGCATTGCTCGAACTCTGTCGTGAGTCTGTAAATGTTGAATGAAACGCATTAGACTAAAAACTAAACTTCCTGCGAGAAAATCGCTTTAGGGTTTATTACCCTCATTAATACCAGCAATGAGCTATATTCGAGTGCGGTGTTTTTAACGATCTTGGTAATATTAATCAGCATAAATAGTTAGTCTGCGTGAGTTTTAGTACATTCTCCAGGTGGAGTCGCTTGATGCAGTCACTTAAGCATCTAGTTAATCAAGGACTCATTCGAACACTCCAAATCTTAATAACGCGAATATGTACTTATCCTCTTGAAATTGTAAGTTTGTTGGTTTTCATTTTGCTTCTGTAGTTTTCTCCTTCCTTATGTTTCGATCTCTTTCATGTATGTATATTTACTGACTGTACGTGTGCTCCTAAAAAATCTTGGACTGATACTAGTCAACGAAACGTTTTCATTGAATCTATGAAAGATTTATTTGCCGCTTTCTCTGCTTCTAAATCCTTGGACAACACTACAAGACTTTCGGATGCATATGCCAAGAGGGCATAAATGAGACCAAGCTTAGAATATTTGGATAACTTTTGCGCTGCACACCAAGCTCTCCACGTTTTTGTTCACAAGGAACTGGGTGATCAGTTAGCTTCGGTAGTCTCGTGACGGGTAAAGAAGACATCAATATTTGACAAGCGAAACTGGCAGAACTTTTAGACGTGTCAGCTGGTGGAGTAATATATACTCCATATATAAGAACTATACTCATACCGAACGAAAACTTTTATGCAAGAACTATTCTCCATGCATGTACAAAAATCATTTTTATTAGTTTTAGAGAAAAAATACAAATAAGGCGCAAAAAATAGCGACTAAAATCAATAGGACATGGTGCAACGATTACAACATCGTTGACGACAATGCGTTTGCACTAAATGTTGATAAATTGCGTTTGAGTTATCTATACGCACGGAATAAATTCAGAAACCGAATGCAAAACCAATAATACTAAGAAAAGCACACGGGGCCGTTATACACAAAATAATTGCATATCCAAGACATGTACCAGTTTTATTTCAATAAATGTAATAATTACATGGAAAAGGAACCTTAACAAACACAATAAACAAATGTCTTCTTTGCAATCGAACTGCATACAATCAAGGCAGGATTTTCGGTTGAGGGAATCTCTCTAAAGGTTGCGACACTTGGTGCCTCTAAGTCGAAATGGAACGAGGAAAACTCTCAAGATCTTCAAAATTTTGCCACAACAAACATACTGATCAAACTAGTGTTTACGTTAAGAAACTGGCTGTATTTCCGATAAATACTGTCTAATACAAAACTAACGTTCACAAGAATATTATTTTTCTACCTATTATTATTGTAAAATATCGTCATATAGTCGATAAACCCTAGACCAAATCACATTGATGCATCGACACGCGAAGCACAAGTTTCAATTACAATATGACGAAGTACCTACTAGGTAACGGCCGAAGTAAGCGATGGTGACGCCGGCGTTCCATAATGGATAAAGCCTATGAGTTTGATTTAAATTAACCGTGATTACGGTGCCGTGCTTGGTAGTTAGGATACCGCGCTGGTGCCGCCTCTTACACATCCATCATTCAGTTCTGGGTAACGAGATGAGAGTGCAGGCGAGGCGCGGGCGTGACTGGAACGGTACTCTACCGTTGTGGGATGTGGAGCCTGGGCAAGCATCATCTGAAGCAGTGGAGGAGTGTTGAAATGTTGGGAAAAATAGGCTGCTATTTAGGATGGGATCTAATTATTCGTTTCCCTATCTTTTTTGGGAGTAATCGTTTCCCAATCTTATACAAGTTACACGAAAAGGAGCAATGTTAACTTTGTTGTGGGTTAAACGAGGTCCAATGTGATTTTATGTAATAAAATCCAATAAGTAACATGACCAATTGTTTTCAGCAATGAATTTATCCTGTTCTCTTTACCACATTCTTTGAACTTGTGTGCTGCCACTATTTTCTTGGCGGAGAAAATAAAGTTTTGATAATTCCTTTGCCTTAATCTTTTCCTAGCTAAATTTCCATAATCAAGATTCCGGCATCTATTCAGAAACGCTCAGGCAGCTCTGCCTTGAAATTAAATGTCAGGCTCATCAACAGCACTGAAAATATAACGATGAATATATCTGAAAAAAATAATTTGAATATGAATATATCTGGATAAAATATCTGGATTTGGAGACCCGCACAAATCAGAACAATGCAGAAATGTGACTAGGAACTGCTGTGTCTACTATACGCCAAAAATAATTATATTTTGCACGGAGACGAATGAGGATCTTCGAGCGTTGATTTTTGAACGTTCGCGCTTGTTGTTTTACATCAATTTTTTCCTTTTTTTTTTGAAAAAGCGATGATTATACAAAATCAATTTCGTTGGAAATTTTCTTTTCTTGATATTTGCGTGAATCTCATGAATGTAACTCACGAATGAGTA